TTATGATAATAAAATTTATATTAATAATACTCAATATGCAACAATCTAGGAACCATTCCATTTGTAAGTCTTTAAAAGTCTTCTTGCTGCTGGGTGAAAAGGTAACCGTTACAGACACAGTTTTCCAGCCGCATTGCCATATGAATGGTCTTTTTCTAAGTGGTGTTTCCATCACATGGATTGAATTTTAAACTATGTTTTTCAATGACCAATCAGACATTGTAAAATAGTTATGCTACTGACTTGGTATGTGTTCAATGTCAAGGCACGTTTTTCCATTGACAGCTTGAGAAGGTTGTAAAACCATTAAATTTTTAAACTTGTGGTTCAAAGAAAGTTTTGCAGTTAGGCTGCTTTTAATTTTCCTATTCTTTTTAGTGAACACCTGCCCTTTTTTGTTATTAAACCAAGCTACAAGTGCTTGGATATTTTTTCTTTTGTAGCTCAGGAAACAAATGAATAGATATTAAATATTTGAATAAGGGAAAGAGAAAAAGTAACTCTTTGTAGATAGATTTTACGTATTTTTAATGTTGAAATATTTTTTAAAAAAATTTATTGACGTAAAATAATGGAATTTTTAAAGGAAAGTGATTTGCTTTTTTAGGTGAATTGGAGATTCTAGCAGAGTAATTTAATCTGCAGTGCTCCTCACTGTGCTAATTTGTGAGCATTCAGCTAAACACAGATTTTCCTGTAGGTCAACAGTGTATTATTTACATTTGTATAGAAACAGCTGATATGGGGTCCAACACACAGAAGACGCCTAACTGGTAGCCATTACATTAAATAAAAATAAATATGTGCCAAAACTCAGCTTGTTATATAAGCTAATTTTGTGTTGCGCACTCTTCTAGCTATCCAGGCTATCCAGGTAAAAAGAAATCTAGACCTAGCCTTAAAAACTCACGGCCAAGCGGAGGAAAAAGAAAAATGATTTTTACAGTGCAGAGGGGCACATGCAGTGATAGAGCAGAGCACTCAACTCTAGTGCTTTCTGACAAGCACTGTAGAGATTAAAAAATATATACATAAACCTCCCCTTATGCTTCCTAGCCCCTGACAACCAACGTTCAGCTCTCAGTGTCCATGAGATTGGCCTTCTTTTAAGATCTGCGTAGGAGTAAAATTGCATAGAATTTGCTACTCTCGGCCTGGCTTTTTCACTTAACATTATGTTCTCCAGGGTCATCCATATTGTTGAAAGTGACAGTAGTTCAACCTTTTCATAAACTGCTAGTGTGCTGTTGCAAACATGTAGCATATGTACCAGATTTTCTTTATTGTTCCATGGAGTTAATGAGAGATTGTTCAGTGGGTAGAATGTTAAAGTTAGATAAGAATAAATTTTGGTGTTGTATGTCACAGTAGGGTCATAGAACAGTAAGATGTTTTAAATTTCAAATTAGGAAAAAGGAGTTTGCATGTTCTCACTACAAAGAAATGTTTAAAGTAATTAATAAGCTAATCACTTTGATTTGATCATTGTATAATGAGCACTTATACTGCATTGTACTCCACAAATATGCACAATTAAATGTCAACCAAAAATAAAAAGAAAACAAAAAAAATTCATGTCTAAGTGGCCCCTCATATCAACCGCTTGCATGAATAAGAAAAATTTTACACAAATTTTCATTTTGTTTTTTTTGACAATATTATTTAGATTGGATTTAATAATGTCTAAACTGGAACGAAACTAGCATAGCATGATTTTATAAACCTAGCTATACAGATACTATTGAAGAAAATTGTCAAAAATTAACACATGCTTGGGGACAGAATCAATAAGATTTGACAGCTGGTAGAGGTTAGTAGCAAAGACAATAGAAGAGCCCATGTAAACTGTTTCTCATGCCTGTTTACCTACACCTGAGGGTGAATTGCGAGGAGTTTCAAACACTAATTCATTTCCATCAAAAATTTAACCTGGAAAGAGCAAATGTATCAGGGGTAAAATTGCTCAGATTTTCAAATTACTCTGTGTATGAAGAAAAGTTTGACAATTATAAATAGTCAAATCATAAGATTTTATGCAAAGCGAAATATGCTTTCTGAAAATCTCATTAGAATTACATGGAGGGTAGGTCTTAAAATTCTCCCACAGAGCAAGTGTGATGAATGCTTTTTAGCTACTTAGGTTAACTATATGAACTCTGGTGGCGAACTTCCTTATATTATGTATTATAGTTAAAATTTTATTTGAAAGAATGTAAGATATTGTTCATATTTTTTAGTGACCTCAATCCTATGGCTTTCAACTTCTCATATGATTTTCATTTAAGTAGCAATTCTCCTTCTATAGGAATTTTCATTAACTTTAGCTAGTGAAGTATAAATAGTTACTTTATTGGTATAATATTGATTTTCCTTCTCATATATTATTTTCCACAGCTTTATGTTTTACCTTTATGCTTTATGTATCACACACAATTAAATATTGACTTATTTTAGCATCAAGCACATCATGATGTTATTGTTTTTCATCAAAATTCTTATACTAAAGTCTATTGATACTATTGAATAATGGTTTTGAAATCCGCTCTGGGATCCTGTATTTAATACCTCATCACAATTTGGAATTTAGTATAGATGAGTAGCAGTGGATACATTTGAAGGAATGTTCATAGAAACCACTCTTTTTTAATGTTTTAAATGATGTGTTATTCCATCTGTTCAAGAGTCTTTAATCAAGAGCTTTCAAATTTGCTAATGTAACATTTAGAATATTGATTTTTAATTAAATTTAAAAATCATACTGCTAGCCAATGTGAAATCAACTTTGAAATCAGATAAAATATTTCAGTGACCAGCTAAAAAAAAAGAAATGTAACCAATGCTTATTTCCTGTTGAAGCTTGAGGGCCCAGCTAAAAAAAAAGAAATGTAACCAATGCTTATTTCCTGTTGAAGCTTGAGGGCTTTGCCAGGTACATAACTACAGCTAATGACAAATGGTTGAACATTTGGCTCTGCCAGACACTGGTTCATTTACCAGACACTAAACAGCTCATGAAATTTTCAGTGCAACAATTCTTAGACATTATATCCACTTTACAGATGAAGACACTGAGGTGCAAAGAGATAAAATCACTGTGTAAGGCCATGGAATTAGAATGGTAATCTAGGCTTCAAATCTGACCATTCTAACCTGCTCTTGCACCCTTTTCTCTCAAATTTATTAAGATGATACCTCCTTCAGGGAATCTATGAAGTTAAGACAAACAGAAATGGAACAATTAGGAAAAATACTCTCTAATGTCATAGTGCCTTTTAAAATTTCTGAAGCTGTTAAGAAGAATGGAAAATTATCAATGAAGTGTTCATGTCAGGAGGGTTTGATCTACAATTTGAAAGTGTTGGAATGAACCCAATCCTGGCTTCTTAAAGCTATGTGAAGTGGAACAAATAACTTTATTAATGGGTTACCAGCTGAGAAATAAAAATTCTTGTGTAAGAGTTATTCCTTTAGAAGCAATAGTTATGTGTAGGTGACTAAGTAAGTACATGCTTTAACTTTCCTGGAAAAAAGGTTGAGTCTGAGACACAACCTTGCATGATTTAGAGAGCAGGAAGGAAAGCAGAGATGAAAAAGCAAAGGAAGGGACATGTTACTCTGTCCGGGCTAAGAGACAGCTTGGTTCCAAGGACATGCAGAGGGATTTGGGGCTACTTGCACCTTAATTGCTAACTTCCAGAACTGTGAGAAAATTGATACCTATTGTTCTAAACTACTTGGTTTGCTGTCATTGTTATTGAAAGGCTTACCAAACTCTCTATGCTCTTTACATGCGTATTTTTGGTTTTCTCTGCAGTCCACACAAAAGTCACTGCTTGGATGTTCCTTGAAAGGCTCTATCCAAAAATATGCACTCTTCACTTTTTAAATAACTTAAAAGTGAGAGCTTTTAAATTAAGTCTCTAATTCAGTATTTATCTCTATGCATCTTCCATGAAATACTATGATATTACCTAATTTTTCCTAAAAGTGTATATGATTGATCTCACAACTTAATCATTTCCTACTTTCATGTAATCTTTAAAATACTTATTTCTAGTAATGGGAAAAATTGGACATGTAACACAATGCTGGATCATTTCTTGGGGAAAAATGAAATTTATATTGAATTTTTTCCCTCTTTTGTTCTTGCTATCCCTTTCTAAGATAATTTCTATATTCACTAAAAATTACCAATCAGGTTGTTTCACACCAGCATGTCTTTTTGAATGTTGGTTTGTGGTTCAAAACGAGATCATTGAGAGAATGGTCCACAAGAAACTAAAAAAGAATGCCAAGTTTCAAACTATGACTTCCTGTTTCCCATAAGAAAATCTTAAGAAATGTATTGTATTATATTTGAACAAATGTGACAGTTGCTTAATGAAATTCATGGCTCAATCCCAAATCCATACGTTCTCAGAAAAATGCTGGAAGTGTGATTTAAGCTAACCAAGCAAGTTCCACTTTTTTCTTGAGACAGGTTCTGGTCAAGCAGTTCATTTTAGCCTTGAACTTTATATGCATCCTTTGGCTGACCTTGAAACTCACAATCTTCCTACCCCAGCCTCTTGAATGCTAGGATTAGAGAACATATTTTTAAATTGGTTTTGTTGGTACATTCTATCAATGTAAATTTTACTAATGATGCATAACAATCACATTCATTACAGAAAGTTCGTATCTGTGCGTAGAATTTTTGATTCTTCTTTTTTCTCCAAGCCCCTCTCCTTTTCCCTTCCTTCAACTCCTTTTCCCTTCCTTATTTACAAAACTTTCATTTTTTCTTCTTTCTATCCTTTTTTCCTTTTCCCTTCCTTCCCCTCCTCCTCCATTCTTTATTCCTTTTCTCATTTGAGTATTTCCTTCCTATTTCCTAGTATATGTTACACATTCTGGTCCTTATTTACCCTTTCGATTTCTCCCACTAGAGAAACAATGTGATATTTAAACATGTGTGCCTGATTTATTTTATTTAGGAATATGGATTCTTTTTAGAGATATTTTCAAGCCCTTATTTTTATTGCGCCATTACATGTTACAAAATTTGGTAATTATTTATTCTTGATTATGTTACTTATTGTAGAATTCAAGATATATAAAGTATATCAAAGTCATGTACATCAAAGTCAAGACAAAATATTAAGAACATTTGGAAATGGTAAGCACGAAAATGAGAACAATATATGGGAAAGAGAAACCAAAACCCCTAATTGATATATTGTGTTTAATATTAGATTAATGATTATTCAAAGCTCCACAATCCCATTCCAATATTTAGAAATGATGATTTGTACATATAAAAAATTCTCTTTCCAGTTACGACTTACAAAAGACTTGATCGGTCTATCTGTCATCTATCTGCTTACTTATCCGTCTCTTTGCTTGTCTACCTGTTACTAATAGTCATTTCCCAGAATTCCAAAACTATTCTTATTCTCATAATGTTTTGTCTTTTTCAAGTATTTACCAATCATCCCCTTCACAAAAACTGCAGTGTGTTGACACCAGTGCAAAATCAATTTCTTTCCTTCTACTTAAATTTTAAAACATCACATTTTCTTTGAGACAAACAGCGGCAAAACACACACTGTCTTCAGTGCTCCTTCAGATAGTTGCAGGATGGTCCTGCTTTGAGACTCAGATCTCACGTGAGACAGGTCTTGTACCTCTTGCTTCCTTTTTTGCTGTATTCTGAGTCCCCTGCTTCTGGGATGAAGCCTTCTCAGTGCTGTTCACCCAGCCTTCTCTCCAATGTCATCTTTCAAATCATCTCTGATTTGCTTGAGACTGCTCGTTACCCATTTGACACATCTTTCTCTCTTCTTCTTGGGTCTCAAAACATTAAAATGGCTATAATAAGAAATCAACAAATGCTGGAAGGGTTGTAGGGAAAATGAAACCCTTTTCCACTGTTGATGAGAATGTAGACTGGTGCAACCTCTGTGGCAATCATTGTGGAGATTCCTTAAAAAGCTAGGATTATAGGTACCATTGCACCCAGCTATTCCCCTTCTGGGAATTTTCCCAAAATAATTTATTTATTTATTTTTCTATTTTTGGTACTGGCACTTGAACTCAGGATCTTGCACCAGCCAAGCAAGTGCTTATGCCATTGAGCTATATCCTTAACCCTTCCCAGAAGAATTAAGAACAATATACCACAGCAATTATGGACACCCAGCCTTATAGCAGCACAATTTGTGCTAGCTAAATCTTGGAAACAACTTAAATGTCCTTCAACAGAGGAATGGGTAAAAAGATGTGGATTTTTAAAATAATGTGCTACTCAGCCATAAAGAAGGATAAACTGGAGACTTGTTAGGTAAATGGATGCATATAAGTCCATACTTACAAGTGAAATAAAGAAAACCCATATGTAAACATCATATTATCTCACTAGCATGAGAAATTAAATGAGCAAGTAAGATCCAAAATCTACAACAGATATTACAAATTGGGAAGAAACTGTTCAAAAGAAGAGGCTGACTATGATCAGGGAAAGCTGATATGAAGAAAAGGAAAAAAAATATATGTATACACAAGATAATTAAGATAGATATACAGCTAGTTTCTCTTAGTTCATTGAAAACAAAGGTTTGTGCTAATATTGTTTGGACAAGATACCAAGCCTGTATCTTGTACTCTGAAAAACCACTGTGAAGACAACAATGTGCAATGTATTTATTATTATGACTGTACTCCTAACCTGTTTTGAAACTTTGTTTTATTGTTATTTTTATCTTTAAAAAAAAAAAAAAAACATGGTGCCTTATTTTCATTTTTCTTCTCCAGTGATTTCTCTGCCAAGCATCCCTGGACAGGTTTTCATCTTTCTCTTTGTAAGTGTGAGATTACCTCAAGGAGGAAGCTCCTTGTTACTTTTGTATTTGTTACCTTTTGTACTGCCTCAGAAAGCTCATTCATTACCACAAGTCCAGTGAGAATTCAGCCACTCAGTGCAGTGCAAGTTTTAGCTCATCAAGTAGGAGGGTGACTTCAACACCAAGTTATTGACTCATGTTCTCTGCAGATGATGTGGCAACTTCTTCATCACTAGATGGATCCTTTTTGAAGCTTCCAATTCCATCAAATATAGACTGTCTGCCTTGCTGTCCTAAAAAAGACAGAAGCATTCTCTCTAAATAAATTGTACATAATCTAAATGTTCTTGAAATTTGTTTTATCATCCTACATAGCTTTGGTAGGCTATTCCAATGCTACTCAAAACTTACGAGTTCTCTCTCTCTGTCTGTCTCTGTCTCTATGTCTGTCTGTGTCTCTCTCTCTCTTTCTCTCTGTCACACACACACCCACACACCACCCCACACACAGACACTCCTGTATGTTACATAATAAAGAAATCAAAGGGGAAATAGACCAAAGATATTTGCACCCAAGCACTAAAAACACAATAAAGAGGAAATATTTGCCACAGTTGCAGTCTTTATTTGGTAATTGGTCAAGTGATCTAGGCTCATATTTATAACTATTTTCTTATAGTGGTCATTCTTTATCTCTGGCTTCTAACAATGATTTCAGCTGGTATAATGGTCCAATCATACATTCTTGAAGGATATTGGTCTTTAGTAGTCTTGTTTTTGCTGATTGGGTTTGTGTAATTTTCCATTGACTTTGGTCACAGAGGATAGAAATAGCTAAGACTTGCCTTAAGGATCTCCTGTACTAACCATATACTATATTTTTAATGCATTATGAGGTAGCAGTCTGGTTGCCTTTGGTAATTTGGATCAGTCATCCCAGCCAAAGCTTAAACACTCTTCTTTACCTTTTGGATCAGGGCATGAGGACCCTGTGTGCTTGCACAGCAGTCTTAAATTCCATGCTGTGTTTCCAGCCAGAAACATTTCTCCTTCTGAAAATAAGACCTTTAAGCCAGTGCAACATAAAGTCATAGGGACAGGTAACAAATGTTTTGGTAATAGGTCACTAGGTGTAATGACTTTTGTCTAGATGTTCCCCCACCAAAGCCTCATGTAGTCATGGAGGATGGACTTTTCAGAGGTGGCTGAATCTAGTTTTTGACTGATTCGTAGTCCGATGCTGGGATTAAGGGTGTGAGTGCTAAACTTGTTCTAGGGCAGGTAGCTTGCAAACAATATAAGGAACAGGAAGAGGTGTGTCCTCCTTCCATTGTAACTTTTGCTGTCATCCGAAGCCATAAATGGTTGCCCCTCTTCCATGTACTGCCCTGCCTTTAAGTCAGCTGATTATGGACTGAACCATCTACAAACTAGGAACTAAATAAACATTTCCTCCCTTTAACTTTGGACTTTGGGTATTGGAAGCTGATTCAGAGCATAAACAATCCCCCTTCCCACATCTTGCCACATGTAGCTCTGCAAGGTATTGCTGCATAGCTGACACTGCAAATAAGTCTTCAAAAGGCCCAACCAGTGTTTTACCATGCTAGCTCCTTCCTGATGGCTGAGAATGTAAGAACATGACTTCCACTGCTGGACTTACTTTGTTTCAACAACCTCTGAGTTCTGGGTTCTTCGTAAACAGAGTGCTGAGCTAGAGCAGCTCTAGACAACTTTCCAAGCATGTTGTATCAGTCCATTTTGTATTAGTTCATTTTGTATTACTCTAATGAAATTGTCTGGGCAGACTAATTATATAAAGAAAAGAAGAGACTTATTTAGATCACAGTTGTGGAGGTGCAAGGACTTGACACTGACCTTAGACTGGCATGGATGAGGGCCCCCTTGGCTGTAGTACCTCATGGTAGGGACACTTGTAAGGCAGAGATTATATCTTGAAACATGCAGTCTGGAGTCTAAAGTTCACAGATCCTTCCGAAATCCACCAATGGAGCTGAGGGTGCCCATGCCTCAAAGTTTTTAAAGGTGCCACCATCCCCCAGTATAGCTTTCTGAAGACCAACATTTGAACACATGAAACTTTTGGGGTGCACACTTAAACCATATCCAAACCACAGCACATCACTTAGATTTGTTTCTAATTTATGTTTCAATGAACTTCCACCAAAGAATAAGTTCTCTTTATGCCAAGGATATTATGATGGTAAAGACATCAGTAATAGTGTGTTGGAGAGAGAAGAGGCAGAAGAGAAGGGAACAGAGAGAGGAGCAAGTGAACCAGACAGCAAAGGGAAAGGATTTATTCACTAGAAACTAATTTCTATCCGCATTTTTTCCTGCAATATATTCAACATTAAGTAAACAAAAATATTATTTTTCATATGTGTTAGAACTTGAAAGGCTTATTTCTGCATTGTTCTTTAAATATAATGCATTTTGCACTATGATATCAGTTTTGGAGAAAAGATAACACTATGATTTCTATTTGAGTTTTTGTGTGAAAAGCTCTGAAACTCTGTAAAACTCTGTTTTAACTTTATGGCAGCTCATGCTTGGTAAACAATAGAAAGTGTCACGTGAAAGTGAACTTTCCTTGTCATACCTTAACACAAGAACACCTTCACTGTTCTGACTCTCACTTAAGATTAAACCCTGGCTTTGAAAAAAATAATTTCTCTTTAATCTTGGAATTCCAGGATTAAAGTTCCATTTTATTGACTGCTAATTTCTTCTTGGAAATGTATTCCAGTTACCTTTATCAGTGGTACATGAAATTTATTATTTTTATATATTTTTGTGAGCACAATTTACTTTTTAATCTTTATCACTTTAGTAGGTTATAAATAGTCCCTATACTATTCATTTTTGTTACAAGTTAGGTGGTAATATTTTTATATTTCTTGGTCACATGTAATTTTTACTGATAATACAATAATTCATGTCTTTTCATCCTTTTTATTAGTGGTTGAGAATTGGTACAGATATATGTCTTGTAGACCCCATTTCTTTCCTCTTTCCCTTTTTCCTCCCCGCATCCTCAGATCCCTTTCCCTTCTCCACATTTCTTTACTTTTGTCTTTGTAATTAGTCTTTCCTGTTATGATGCAGCAGCCACAGGGTACTCAATCTAACGGTACAGGGAAGCACAGCTCTAAGTGCTCAGGCATCTGTGTCTGTTAAAGGCTACTGCGTGTGGACATGGGCTAGGGAGCACCAGCCGAGGATACCAGGAAGGCTCAGGCAACACATAGTTTAGTGATGTAAACTAGGCCTACTAGAAGCAGATTTAAAAGCTGGCAAAGCCTTGTAAAACAGAAGCCTAGTGTAGTATGGGCTTGCCCGTGGTCCAGACCTCCACAGGTGTGGATAACTTTGTTCAGATCCATGGATTGCAACCAGAAATGACATGAGTTACTTCTGCGTCAAAATAAATATTATGAAGTATGCGACCCTCTGCCTCTTTTACCCCTGCTGTGGTTTCCTGGAGACACAAGCTGGGATGACTAACCCCCCAAATCAAGGGCTGTCTGGAGAGCCAACCCTGTAGCACCAGAATTTATGGGCGTAAGAACTAAACATTTGCTAGAGCACTCTGATGTGAGGAGTAACCTGTTAAGACAGCACTGTCTGGTAGGGCATCCTGATAATACACCTGACTCCTCTTTCTTCACAAAGACAGTTGCCAAGCAAACTCTTAAGCATATCAACAGCTAATTCACGATGATGCTCCCAGTTCACAGAGGAATAACTCAGTGTCTTCAATTAGGATGTTTTGCTGTTCCTGGAATTTCCTGTGTTTCCTTGAAATCTTGCTCAGGAGACTTGCAGGTGTGGGTAGAACATTGTGAAGCTTCTAATCATGGGGTCAGGAGGATCACCTTACAGGGAGCTTTCAGGTCCTACATCATTTTGACAGATCTATATATAACTTGGCACCTATTTGCAAGAGAAAGAATAAATGGTGAAAAATGTTAAATGACATCCTCTAGCTCACACTGTCCAAGAGAGCTATAATGTCAGCTGCATTTGTCATTTTAAATTTCCTAGTATCTACACTTTAAAAATTTTTTAAAAAGAGAAAGCCATTTTAAACAATATATTCCACTTAGCCCAGATAATTCAACAAGGTGATTTTGACACATAATCGTGTAAAACTTTATTAATTTCACATGATGTTTTTGATATGTGTATGCATTTAAATCTTAAAGTGAGCTCTAACTTACAAGTCACATTTTAAATGCTCAATCACTAAATGAGGATATATTGCACAGGAAACTCAATATGCAACCTAGATGTGTTCAAAATTATTGAGCTTAAATTAGGCATTGTGATGGCTGCATTCATAACTTTGTCTAGTTTGTTTCTTAGAATGGTCTTCTGAGTTAATAAATGACTGTGCTGGCAAAATAGGAAAGTGATAGATCTAAGTTCCAAGCCGATTCTCCATCTTGCCTCTGGAGACTGAACAGTGCTGTAGGCAAGTAGATGACCATGGGACTCCTGTGTAATTCAAGCAAGAAGAATGAGCCTCCTGAATAAGGTAATGACATGAGTGATGCAAAGAAGGATGGAGCTGGTGAATATAAACAAGTACAACTGGGGATACTTTTTTAGATAACTGATTGCATATGAGAGGAAAGGAAGAGGAAGTTCCGGCTTGTTAAGGGGTGGATTGTTACATCTAACTTAAGCAACTGAGCACCTCTAACTTAAGCAAGAGTGCTAGACTGATATGCGTCTTCGTAACCTGAAATTGAAGCTAGCAGTTTTTGGTTTTTTTTTTTTTTTTTTTTTTTTTTTTTTTTTTTTTATCACTGGAATTGCTAGTGCAAGACCAGAGAATAAAGAGCTTTTTAATAAATGTTAATAAATAGTACATTATATTTGGTCACAGATGCCAGCTGAAGTGATTTAACAACTGATATTGAAGATAAAATGGTGTCAACATATTAGGTATGGGCATGTTTTGGCAAATCTTTACTACTCTTATAGAAAAAGGAACACAATTACTTAACTTCAAATTTGCAATGGATACTGGGTACAAGCGTCTATGTGTTCATATTTTTTCTAAACATACCCATTCATGTTTGTTACTACAAACAAAAGAGCAGAGAACTTCCCAGAGTTTCATGGCTATGTACTTGTCTTTGGATTTGGAAGAAGTATATTCTTGAGCCTTCTAGTTTGGCAGAATCTCCAGAGGATGGCATGCCATATATTTTGGAAAATCTAATCTTAAAAATTAAAAGGGACTCAATTTTGACTCTGGTCAAATTACCTCATTAACTATAAAATGGAGAATTTGAGAGGTGCCTATGAACAAAATTTATAGCCTTTCAAGATCTCATAATTTTTTAATAGGTACTACTAGCCCTTGGAGGATAACTACAATACGAGAAAACACAAACAGTTTGCCTGGAGTTTATGATTGTGTTATTTTTAATTTCTCAATATTTATCATATCATGGAAATATTTTAAAAATTCTTTTCAACAAATATAGCTGTTAACTATATTTGATTATGGGTCCTATTTATTTAATTTGACCTCAAGTATATCCCCACAGAAACATACATACCTATTAAAAAAGTTGATAGTTAATCATTTTTAACAATTCACATGAAGAAACTGTAGATAACTGCAAATGCTCTTAAACTGAAGGGCCGTGAGTTCTCCTAGTAATCATGAAGAACACTTGCAGCATGAGTAGTAAGGTTTAGTATATTTTACCTTGACGTATTCCAAGATTGGTCTGACTTACATACTTAGTCATTGCTCAGCGCTCCTGTTTTTAGTTATTTATACCACCAATCATTAGAAATAGAAAACTGGATTGAGGTGGAGTCCTGCAAGTAGGGTATTATAGGGAAGAGTGGCGATTATAGGATAATGAACACAGCGACATGAATGTCACACAGAGGGAAAGCTTTATATCCACCTTCTCTGCGTGATGAAGCAGTTTCATTTAGTGCTTATGTGCTCTTATGTAGTATAGAATGAAGTTTTAATTATAGGTCCAGATCCCACGGGGGTGAATTGTTTACTGTTGGTGCAAAGATTTTTTTCCTGGGCCCCGAAGCTCAGAGCTGGTGTCCTGGTGAGTTCTGCTTAGTGTTTGGCTCTACTGGAATTCTCTTGTACCCTGAAATTCAGTAGAGTGAAGTTGGCCCAATGCTTTTACTTTGACTCTGACATTGATAGCTAGTTTATTCCCTTTTCAGATACTATTACTCAACTTAGCAGAAACCATCTCTAAAATCATATAAAATTTAAAATAAGCATTTGATGAGAACGAGTTTTTGGTTGTCAATTGGTAGGATGGAAAGACAGTGATTATTCAGGAGCTGGTAAGTGTGCAGGCATGGACCACCTCTTTGCACGAGTTTCACAAGGTGCATGTGAGGTTTTGAAGCTGCTTCTTAAAAGAGTTGTATTTCATCATTGTCATTTCTATTGAAATTGTATATATCATCTAGTTATATACAAATCTTTCTGATTTGTTATTTTTAATTCAATTTAAATTAAGATATGTTCCTCAGTTTTAAATACCATTACTATTATGAGCTATGAGGTATATGAGCTGTGTTCCTATAAACAAATATAAAATTATTATCCATATCTTTAAACCTGTCTTGCTTTCTGTCTTTACTCCTCTACACATTGTCTTCTGGTTTTCCTCTGGCCTATTCTGACCTTGTGTAATCGTTCTCATTTCTCAGATCAACTGAAGCACAAGCAAACAGTTGTAATTCAATAATTTTTATTCTTGCTTTGATTAATTTTCATATGGTCACCATTCTATATAAAACACTCCATTTCACTTCTTAAAGTTGTTTTGTAAAATCTAAGCTGGAGGAATGTATTAATATTAAACTTTCAGACTTTTGTATAAGACACCATGCATTTGGTCTTAACTTTCCATTTTGTTTGGAATACGAACGCATAATGCACACACTTTATTTCTACAAACAAAAATGTTGACAATGAGGCAGCTGGCATTTCTTTGCTGAGTCTGAATCATATAAAATCAGAACATGCATTTAGGTATTTCAGGGGAACTATGCAAACACAGCTAAACCAGAGGTTTTAGTGATTCGAATCATAAACTGAAGCTCAAAATGGAAAAGGTATTTTAAGAGTAAAACATTCTATAAATTGATGAAGTATGAAAAATAAAAACACAGAAGACTAACCAATCATAGTGCCAAAATTGCATCAATCATGCTAAACTCTTCAATTTGGAAAATCTAAAACAGAAGACTAAGGTTTTACCCAGAACATCCATCTTTAGTTTCAATTGCGTTTTTGTTCTCTGAGATTTATCAACTTGTTCTAAATTCAATCCATTTAAAATATACCATTGCTTTTTATGACATGGGAAAAGTAAATAATTTAACTCCCTTAAATTGTGCATAGAAATGTAACGGTTCTAAGTTTAGTACTAAGGAATCTATAATGTCTTCTACAGCATTTCGTTACGGAACTTTCTTATGTTAGCATTCCTGTATATCTCCCATTTAGCTATAGAAAAGAGGCACATTTCAAAAATATTTGAAAATTCTCTATATTTGTCAGTAAAAATAACATACAAGGAAAATACAGATGACAATGTAGAAATGCAGATGAAAACGTAGGAATTAAGAGGAAAATTTAGGAAGAATGCAGACGAAAATGTAGTCGAATGTTTGACATTTGGGTCAGTATAAGGTAAGTGTCTGGTGAGTTTGGATTAAGAACAGGTGGACAGAAGTCTAGTTAGAAGTTTTTGAAATCTGAGAAGTAGCCAGTGTCTTCCCATTTTTAACACCCTTCACAAAAAAGAAAGAGTAATGAAAAGAAATCATTAGAATTTCATAAAATGCATATGAACGTATGTGGAAGCTATTGGAATTATACATGATATGGATGTCATCATTTGGGATTATAGATGTTCTGAATTTCAAATGAAAGTTTAAAGTGTAATTTTACCAATCATAAAATTAGTATCAATATTTCATGCTGAGTTTTTTCTGGTCATCTGTTAAAATGTTCTAATTTTCACAGAGTTTGCTCATCATGTTGGTGTATGCAGTTATAGTTTACTACAGTTTCATTTACCATAAGATATATGAATTGAATTAAAGAAAACCGACAGTTTCTGAGAGATATCATAAATCTAAATGCAGGAAGACACTAATGTTAGAAAAATAATGTCAACTTTTTCTTTCTCAAGTATATCTAAAAATATAACAAGTTTTATTACAAAACACAGTTAATATTAGGTAAAAATGGTGAAATAAAAAAAAAACAATCTATAAAAGTACATAGAATAACCAAAAAATATGCAGTGGTCATATCAAATTTGTTCCTAAACTTTATAATGTGTAATTCTTGGAGAAAGGTGTTTAGCTTTTAAAGTGGATGATATCATAAATCATGTACATTACCACTGAACATTTAGCATATTTGAATATTTGTAAAAAATATTTGATTTCAAAATAATAAACTGAAAGACATAACTGTGTATCTTGGAAACAGCAAAATAGTTCAATATTCAATAGAAGGTCAGACATTCTAGTTTCAATTTAATGGTGCATATTTAAATTCATCTATCATGATTATGTGTTACTAAAGCAAACATCTATCAGATAAAATGAAATTAGAGTTTTATTGTAATTAATTTTAAATATTTTAATTTTCATCGTATCTTAAATTACAAATGTTCAGAAGAATAGCGACTTTTAAGCGGAATCATCATGAATCTTAAAATACCATTTAAATGCTAAATTTTTAGAGTATTCAAAATAAATTCTATTCTTAAATTAAAATAATCTAACTTTAAAGTCTCTTTTTATTAGAGAATATAATTTCATTTAAGCAAGGATACAATAAATACATAAGCTTATGAAGTTTAAATAATAGCATATGTTTAAAATAATTTTGATTATGTACACTACAAGAATTTAAAAGCTGTTTTCATATTGATCTATGTCTTTATAATGCACTACTTGATATTAAAACCTTGCATGATATATTGGTATTGCTGTAACTTTTTAAAGAAAATCTATATTGTAGAGACTGGATAAATGTCCTATGATATATATTTTTAAATGAGTACCATATAGCAAGGTTATGAAAGTGTAATATTGATTATTCATCTCAATATAATTATTGAGAAGACATTTTTCATTCGATTTTGTAGATTAAAACACTGAATTAATTCTTATAGGAAAGGCTAGATTTTTTTCTTGTTATGACATTTTAAATTTTTTCTATGGCCTGGAAAACAAAAAGTTAATAGTTTACTAACTCCAAATGGTCTAAGAAATTTGAAATTTAAAAATGTACTTTATAACTAATACATATGTTAGCATTCAGAGAAAATTTAAGTCATATTTAATACTGCCCTATATCAAGACCTCGTTTACTGTTTTCTTCTCTTAATCACTTGTTTCCCCTTCCAAATAATATTTTGCTTACCTTAGCTTTCTATTAGAAATGGGGACCCATTCATCTTACTGATATTGAATGGGCTGTGTGTTCAATTAAAAGGACTTTTCTTGCTAGCTTTGTTTCAGGTGCATGGCTTTGGAAGAAGAGATTCTTTTCTTTTTAAGCTACTAATTTTTTCCCTTTATTTTGTTTTCCATATTGCTGACTGCATAGGTCCAGAGGTGTCTGACTGAGGCAGGTTGCAGAGAAACTTCTGCACGCCAAATTTCTGACGCAGTGAATGAGAAATCGCATGCTTGCGTTCACTCTGCAGGTTCTAGGGGAACTGGTCCTCCTGGGCTGGAAGACTTGTGTGCTACTAGCCAGTGAATTATCAAGCTCAGACCAAGTTCAGATCCATTCATTTATTCCTTGCTTAGCTTCCTCTAACTGCGTGTAACACGAATCCGTGCTCTTGTTGACCTCTGCAGATGAAGCCCCTGTTGAGTCCATCTTGCCTAACATTTTCTGCTGTTAGTTGACTACCCTGCACTGGGTACCTAATTCTATGTTTCCCGAGGTGGTCGCCTAAATTTCAGTTTGAATGAAATTCTAACGTTCTCACCTAGAATCCACGGAAGAGCTACTGCAGTTAGACAGGTTGATTGTTGCTCTTTGTACTTCAACTTTTAATATCAGAGCACATATTGAAACCATAAACACAATGAAAATTCAAAAACTATTCCGATGATATTGGGGGACCCTCCCCCACTTAATTCTGAGAGAAGCACCAGTGGGGAGCGGCTGGAGGAAATATGCTTAAGATCTCAGTGCTGGACTTCATCCTGCCCGTGCTTCAAAGTCTCAGAAATGTGCACCCCGAAGAACACCCAAACACCCCCTTTCGAAATCTAAAACGATGTAAGTTGCCCGAAATATCGCAAAGAAAGTCTTACCGCGAAAGCCTCGTGGCAGGTTTCAGCTCAGCCCCGGAATGAAAAGTCGAGCAGCTGGGGAACAAAAGTTTTACTTTTTTTTTTTTTTTTTTTTTTTTTTGAACGAAGTCTGCAAAACTAATTTCCCTCAAAATAGAGCTCAATTTCCGTTAAAGAAAGTCATGCTTACAAATCTCAGAATTCCTGATCAACCCCCACCCCACCCCCACCTCTAAGAAATGGAAAACAATTCCATCTTTCACCCGGATGGATGTTAAGGTTTATTTCGAAGGCTGTCTTCGGGAGTTTGCCTAAAAGAAAAGGAGGGGGACCCGACAGGGGGAAAGTTCCGCCTTGGGGACACCTCTCCAAGATTAATCAATACATTTTTCCTAATTCAAAACAGATGTCTAGCCCAGGTTGCTGGACGCATTAATCCCATTAGTAACTTCAAAGACCCGGTCCCCGTTCTCTGGACACCTGAGAGTAGGCAACCAACTGGGCCACATTGCTGGTGACACCTTTGGCCCAAGGATGGTCGACTACAGACAGATTTTCTCCAGGAACCCCACGTCCCCGATGGGACCCGACAGTTTCTGCGGCTCTTTAAGAACAGCGCTTCCTCACGTGCTGTGTGTAAATGACTCAGCCCTAGCAGACTTTGTCGCCCCCCCTCCCATGCAAGCGACAAGGTCCAAACTCAGCCCTCACTATCACAAGTTCACCCGCAGCAGCTTTTCTGACTCATTTTCAGGGATGCAAACTGTAACCCAGGAAACCTGAAGCGTCCCCGGCGTACTCAGCACTAGGGCGCACGGACGTCTCATCTTTCTCAGTCATTGTAGCCCTGGGATGGGCCAGGGCTGGAGGAGCCCGCGCGGGGGAGATCGGGGATGAACTCCTGGAAGTTAATGAGGGGACCTAAGCTGATTCCTGAAGGGCAACTATCCGCGCAGTGTGCACGTGCAGTGCGACACGGACGACACTGCGTCGGGACGGTCCTGACCCAGGAAGCGCTGGATAGAAAACAGCGGAGCCCGGACTGGGTAGGCTGCGAGGGGGGCGCTGGCAAGGAGGGGGCGCCGCCTGGCTCGCACTGGGGAGGCCGCAGCACCCCCTCGCCTCGCGCTTTCCTGCCCCTCACACCGCCCTGACCTCCTCTCGCACTCCTAAGGGCCCTTTGCCATCGGGGTGCACAACCCAGCGACCTCCGCCCAGGCGCCCGGGCTCCCTGGCAGCCCACCCTAGACCGCAGCTGGGGAAAGCTGAGCGCCCTGCGGGGTGCGGAGAGCAGCCGGGAACTGCGAAGTTTGGAAAACTTGTGGAGGGCGCGCACCGAGCTAGCCCCGAGCGTGCGCTCCAGTGCCGCGCCGCTTCCGTTTCCTCCCTGGCTGGGCGGACTCGGGGCTTTCCTGAAGGTGACATTTCTCAAAGGACACTGACAAATCGTGTTTCCCGAGCAAAATGAGCGGGTAGGGAAGTGGGTGCGGGCTTGGGGCTGGCTGGAGCTCTGCTGCGGGGCAGGGCGGGCGTGGGCGCGCCGTGTGTGTCCAGCCTGCTGTGGGAAGGGGAACTGGAGCGCGCGGTGGCGCAGACTGAGCGGGAGTTTTGGAGGGAGTTTGCATGTGGTCAGCGCTGGGCTCCTAAGCCAGCCCCCGGCTCACGTTACACTCTATTTATAACCTCTCAGAGCCGTTTCCCCTGAAAGCAGTTCTCTGGGACCACCTTCTTTTGGCTTCAATCTCTTCCACTCTTGACATCTGAGCAGCTCGCAGGGAAGCTCCTCCAGGTCCCAGTGTTTATATGCGAAGGAGGCGGCCCGCTAGGGCGCAGGACCCGGACGATCCCAGCTCTGCGGAAACTCGCGCTGCTTTTACTTTGGGAGGGGGGAAAGTCGCTGAACTTCCAGTGCAAAGTGACAGCCGGTGGCGGTGGAGTTTGGACCCGTGTCGTGAAGTCTTCTGCCCAGAACCCGAGACTTGCATGCTATGGAACACCCGCTCTTTGGCTGCCTGCGCAGCCCCCACGCCACCGCGCAAGGCTTGCACGCGTTCTCCCAGTCCTCGCTGGCCCTGCATGGAAGATCCGACCACATGTCCTACCCCGAACTCACCACTTCTTCCTCGTCTTGCATAATCGCGGGATACCCCAACGAGGAGGGCATGTTTGCCAGCCAGCATCACAGAGGTCACCACCATCACCACCACCACCACCATCACCACCACCAACAGCAGCAGCACCAGGCTCTGCAGAGCAGCTGGCCCCTCCCGCAGATGTCCTCCCCGCCGAGCGCGGCTCGGCACAGCCTCTGCCTCCAGCCCGACTCGGGAGGGCCCCCGGAGCTGGGGAGCAGCCCGCCCGTGCTGTGCTCCAACTCCTCCAGTTTGGGCTCCAGCACCCCGACTGGGGCGGCGTGCGCGCCCGGGGACTACGGCCGCCAAGCGCTGTCACCCGGGGAGGCGGAGAAGAGAGGGGGCGGCAAGAGGAAAAGCGACAGCTCAGGTAAGGGCGCGGGGAGCACTTTTCGTGAGAGTGCGCGCGGGCTGGGAAGGGGCGGGGAGTTGCTGGGAAGATGGTCAACCTCGGAGAGAAATCGGGGAGGACGGGAGACGACCGGCCTTCGCCGGCTCCCGATGGCCAAATTCCGCGGTGCAGCTTTCAGTCTTGTCCCTGCGGGCACGTGTTTCCCCGAGGGCAACGCAGGCGCAGCCAGCGGACCTCAGCTCTCCAAGAGCCCAAACTAGTCTACCAGAAGGTCGTGAAAAAAGGGCCAGTGACAGTATGTGAAATCGATTGTGGAGCATGACAGTGGGTCGGAGTCGGGGCGGGGTTTGCGCCCGGGGTGCGGCTGTTGGTGAGGAGTGCGTGCGGCGGGCCGGTGCAGCTCCTTGACTCTCCACTTGCAAATTCCTGACTCGGAGCGGCTCGATTTTTCCCATCGTTAACTGGACTTCCAAATTATTACACAATATTTGGAACTTGCGGTGGAACTTGGCAGAGCGCATGAGAAAAAAAAGTTTCAGGCTTTTTTTTTTTTTTTCTTTCCTGATTTTAGAGTTCTTTAAATAGCGCCTTATTCCAAATGATACAACGTTCCGTTTTTGCGGAAGACATTAACTAGGAGTTCAGAAGGTTTTTTCAGGTTTTGAGGGAATATATCAGAGAATAGAAAAGAAATATATGCCCAGGTTCTTGAAGAAAGATTGTTAATAGTAGTTTGTACGAGGATGATGGTAATCTAAAGAGCTATTCTGAGTGGCAAACGTGAAAAACAAAATCCTCTGCCACGGAGGACCGGGAAGCCAATAGTAACTCTGGCAGTGCTGGATTTCTTCCTGCCGGATGGTGATGTGCACCAGGGGTCCCCTCAAGAAGCACAGATCCAGCTGCTGGGACCTCTTACACAGCCTGGGAAAGGTGAGCCCACCTGGACCAGGGCCTGCAGGTGCGGTTAGCCGGCCACACTGCAGCCATCCCGAGAAAGGAGCGGTTTTCAGGCCACTCTGCAAAGTCCTTAGCTATCTGTACCCACAGTTTTCAAAAGATTTTCTATAATTAAGAAACGCTGAGAGATTTCTTCCTTAGCTATACAGGGCAACCTGGGTTCCAACTTTAGAAATCATTTAACATAAGGGCGCATTTTTCTTTTGCTTAGTTGGTTAACACTCTTAAAAGGCAATTCTAGGTATTAGTTTTCAAAGTATGAAGATTCCCGCCATTGTAAAGCTTCAGGCGAGATGCTTCACGCCTGACAATAATCGAGCAGTGTGTTTCATTATAACTTTGTGGCGCTGGTGTCAAGGGCTCTGCAGGGTTAGTATGAGATGGATTCTGTTCTCTCCAAATCTCAAAATCAAACTTTTACGTTCCAAGGTCAGGGGTGAACGTTTAATGCCCCATCGCAAATTAGTTTATATCTAAGGAAGTTACCAGCTCTGTCACTCATTTTTAATGGATTTTACTAAGTACAGATGGAATTCTCTGAAGAAAATGAGTTGAAAGGTTAATCCTAGCAAGAAGGTTTCTATGTTCTGTAGGGAAAAGGCAATTTTAAGATGCAGCGATTGTTTCGCAGTCTGGGCATTTAAGATCAACAGCTTGGAAGCAGGTCTCAGTGCAGGTTGGTCAGAGAACTCTGGAATCACCCAGAGCTCTTAGGATTCCTGTAACTTTGTGAAGTGAGGTGTCTATGTTTCTTGTTCTTCCCGAAGCAAACCGATTCTTTCAAGCTTCTTAGAGCAAGTCAAATTTTCCTAAAGAAACTTTTTTTCTTTTCTTTTTCTTCTTTTGGTTGGGAGAAAAAGAGAAAGTGATATTCAAACTTTTACTCCCTCAAAAATTATTTTAATAGAATATTTCTTTTCAATAGGTGGCTGATTCAATAGTACCTATCTCCTCCATCAATAGAAACTAACTACACAACAAAATAAAGCTTATTTTTACATACTGAAGCTGATAATAAGGTACTGGATAGACAAATGAAAATAAAAGTTTGTGTGAGCTGGATAAAATATTAAGATACTGCAACATGAGTGGGAACACAATTAGTCACCAGCAAGGATTAAATCCCTTGGGATTTAGAAGGAGCCTTTACTTTGATGGGATTTTAAAAAAATGTTTGGTTAGGTAAAAGCAAATATCACAATAACTTCCAGTTAAATCTTTGCATTATACACTTACTGAGAATAAAATTCAATTCACCAGTCTCACTGTTTGAGTTTGATGGTTGTTGGATCTTTAGATAAGTTTGAATGTATAGTATATTTCTCCTGTAATGATGTTGCATATGGTCAAAGTTATTTTATTCCATAGTGTTATAAGGACATGTTGATATAGAAAAAACTAAAGAAATATATAAAAGGATTTCAATTTTGGTAAATTGTTAATAAATATGGGTTTCGGTAGAGTTTTAATATTTCAACATTAAAACAGAATAATTTATTTCTGAACTCAAAGTTTGAAAGTGGTAGATGAAAATCATTCATACTAGAGACCATTTATGCTACATTAGCTGGGTTATAATTACAGAGTATTTATAGTTTGGAGTAAATACAATAAATAAATCCAAGGCAAAGTTAGAACCAAAGTTCTGTGCCCCTGCGTCTAATACCCAGACTGCATGCATATGTGTTTGTCATGCAGTTCTAATAGAATTTTAGCACTAGAAAATATTGATGAACAACCAAAATATAGTTTTCCGAGTATTAGGCTAAAACTATAA